CCACCTGAACTGTCGGAGGGCAACGAGCTCTCCCATCTTGCTGGTAGCAGGCAAGTAGCACACATGATGTGGACATGTTGCACAGGTGATTCCTTGTCCCTAGTGGGACAGAAGGAGGACACCATGAGATTTTATCAGGACGATGTGCCATTGCAATTTAGGAATTATTTCTGGAATTTTTTGTTTACTATTTTTGGATTGCAGTTGACAGCAGGTAACAAACTGTGGACATAAAATAGGATCAGAGGGGACCACTACACTTCCTCTCATAAGACATGGCCTAGGGGATTTCAGGTTACATGACAGCTGGCTTGGGCCAAGGGCTATTTGTCCTAACACGGCTTTTCAGAAGACAACGGCATACCTGGGAGATAAGGAGACGCTGCTGCAGGCTAAGGGCTGAGTGAAGAGGCCTGGAAAGGAAGGACTGAGGAAGAGGCACCTTCTTGGAACAGCTGCAGTTGCTGTTTCTCCAACTTTGGCGTTTACAGGGTTCGACATGCATTCATGAATGAACCTTTTTTCTTTTTTAATGTATTTAGTACAGGGTCTATAGGGTCTCACAACATATATTGGACTCAGTGATCCCCATTTTCAGCTTCCCAAGCACTGGGATTACAGGTGCACACCACCACACCCAGCCTTATTTTTTTTTGATTTTTTTTTTTTTAAATGAACAGGCATTCTTTTTTTTAATTTTTATTTATGTGTGTGTGTGTGTGTGTGGCCAGCTCAGCCCACCAGGGGGCGGGGCTGGCTGGCATGTGGTGCTGGAGGATTGAACCGCGGTCCCTGTGCTTTGCTAAGCTTGTTCTAAGTAGGTGCTTTAGACCACTGAGCCATCTCACCAGCCCTGAACAGGCATTCTTGAGATGCAGCCATCTCCTTCACCTTTCTCTGCCCCTCAAAGCTGTACCATGTTCTCATCCAGGACCGTCCTACACACTGGGCTGGAACTCTGAGGATTGCGCACGATGAGGGCTGTGTCCTTTATAAATGGGAGGGTCCAGGCACCAGAAGGCCCCCGGGGGCTCTGAGGAGCCTGGCTGCCAGGACACCGCCAAGATAGCCCTGTGCCACTCAGGTTCGTTTGCACGGGTCTCCGGAGCGCTGCTCTGCAGCTGCAGTAGAGGCCTGCAGGCTACACTGCCGCTTCTCCTCTGGGGCCCTTGGCCCTGCAGACTCTACGGCTTCCTGCACCTACTCATCTTTGGTAACCTGGTCACCCCTCTGCTACTGCCTGCAAACGTCCCCATCTTTTGGGCTCAATTCCCTGCACTACCTTCCTTTTGGTCTAAGCACAGAGGGATTTGTTTTCCTGACTGGGTGTTGCCTGTGTGAACAAGGAAGGCCATTCTGGACTGCTCTGCCGACCACTGGCCTGGGAGATGTGCCCTAGAAAGACGAGGCTGGGGGCAGGCTCTGTTTGGAGCCCTGCTTTGGCACGGAGCAGCTACTGGTCTAAATGGGTTAATCTCTGGGCTTTGATTTGTTCATCTGTGAAAGGGGCAACACAGTGACACTTGCACAGTGGTTCAGCGAAAGTTGGGCAATGTACGCAGAGCCTGTCGTGGTGACCCACAACCGTAACCCCAGCATCTGGGCAGGAGAATCATAAATTCACGTCCCGCCTTGGCAATGTAGAGACTTAAAGAGATCTTGTCTCAAAATACAAAGTACATAAGGCTGGGGATGTAGCTCAGAGGGAAGGCCCTGGAGACTGAGGAGGGGAGCTCTCCTGCCTGTTCCAAATTTACCTGGGTGGCCCCAACTGAGTAACTGCTGTCTGGTCTTCTTTCTCCTGTTAAATGTGGCTTTACCACATACTGCCCGAACAGAATTCTGACATACAGCTTTCTGCTGTTATGACCTCTTCTCCTCAGGGGCTAGAAGGGCACAGTCATCCTACTTTGGCTTGGCTCGCGTGTCAGAAGCGCCTTTGCTTGGCTGGATGGTGGCTGAGAAGGGACATTACAGTTATGTAATTCTCACTGCCTACCCGGGTGAGGTAGTGTGCGCCCGTC